ACACCCTAAAATATTGCCCAACATTTTCAAATATTTGGGTATAGTTTATGTAGAGGTTCTGGGTCTAGATAGAGATACAGGTATAGATTTAGGTAGAGGCATAGATATAGACATCGTGATGGTTAGGGATTGTGTCAACTAGACACTCCTGGGCAAGAGTAGGGCCAGAACTCAACCTATCAGTTGCACGGAAGCCCGAAGATACTACCTTGGTGTCATAAGCCTTTTTGTAGAAGAAAGAGACACCAAGCAGAGTTGAATCTTCTTTGGTTCTTCACCTTCAGCCAAAGCGGAAACTTGTCTAGTTCCTCAACCTCCTTTTGTGTTCTCTGTGGATCCCAGAACCATTCTGCAGCAGACTAGTGAAGGTGGATTTATTTGGATGACTTTGGATCTCTGCTTCCATCAGCCTGTGTTCCGCCTTCCCACCCCATCACTCTTCATCAGCTTCCATGAGTCAGGAGAAGCTGGACTTGAGCCAGACTGGAATGACTTACTTCTACGGTGGGTAAGCCATTTCTTGACATAAATCTCTTTCTATAAACAACACATCACTGATTTTTCTTATGTAGAGAATCCAAACCAACACACATAAAGATACCAAAAGCCAGATTCACTATCATTGAGTCCATTCTGACTCACAGTAACCCTATAGGACAGGGTAGAACTGCTGCTGTGGCTTTCTGAGACAAACTCTTTACAAGAGTAAAACCTCATCTTTCTCCTGAGGAATGGCCAGGGATTTGAACCGATGACCCTATGTTTAGAAGCCACTACATAACCACTATGCCATCATGACTGATAAGAAAGACAAGACTTTCCACTCCCATAAAGAGTTACAATCTTGGAAACTCACCGTGGAAATTCTACCCTGTCCTATATGGTCAGTATGAAATGGAATAGACTCAACAACAGTGAGTTGGATAAATATGGAAAGTTAACGAGGAAACAAATGATAAGCAAATAGGCATAAGATAAATGAAGAGTGAAAAAGGAAAATTATGAATAAAATTAAAACTAGTAAGTCTTTTTCTTTGAAAATAAATATATTATCTTGTAAAGAAGATATAAAAGACTCAAAATAGAGATATAAGAAAACAGGGTAAGAGGAAATTTAGATAGCAGAAGTCGTAGAAGAAACTCAGTTATGTAGACTCCTGTGTGGTGGTGCGGGGTACCAAGGGATGGAGCAGTAGGTAGAAATGTGAAGTATTTGAATATTTGTTGGCTTGACCCCAGTGCCTCTTTTGTTTCCATATTCCAGAATTCTGAAAAAGAAAATTGAGATATGCTAAAGATTTAATCACTCTGGGTGGTGCAAATGACCAACATGGTGAGCTGTAACCAAAAGGGAAGGCGTTTGAGCCCACTGAGAGCTGCTTCCGAAAAAAGAAAGGTCAACCTGCTTTTAAAAAGTTCGTCATTTCAAACCTCGTGGGACACAGTTCTATGCTGATGTATGTAGAGCCAACACGCGTTGGAATCCACTCTATGACAACTAGTTTTAATGGGCTATGTGGGTGGAAATAAGAAACTAGAAACTATGCTATATGAGGAGACTGCTCTGGGCTCTGGGCTCTGATATCTCTGTCTGACTTGAAAAACATACACTTTATTGCTGACTATAAAAATGGCTTGCTGTTCTTTTTCTTTTTAAGTGAGAGAATAAGTAGGCACTCTTTATGGGCACTTGCTTCCACAAAGATTACTGTGGAGGTGGGAACATTTGAACAAACAACTGTTGTTAAACCACGTCTATTGTAGAAAGACAGTTTGTTCCCAGCCGTCTGCCTTTTGCCATGCCAACACTTAAAAAGATATTGCAAATCAGGAAAAGGAGAAAAACAGGACATACATTTGGTTTCAGCATCTTGGAGGGGAGTTTTGAGAACTGGAGAACATTAAAACACCATCAAATGGACAGCCGTGTCATTCTCTTTCAAATCTACTTGTATTTTTCTTTCAGTTAATAAATTCTATTGTCTCTCTGAGGAGGAAAAGGCTCGATGGCAGCAGGGTTGTCATTTGTGGGACAGGAGTTATTGTCCACTTACTATAATGAAATCACTTTCACTCATACTCTGCTCATTCAATTATTCCTGCACTTACTGAGCAACTTCTTGCTAGGGACTTCTTACAAAAAGCTTACAATGAAGTTTCTAATAAATACTTAATTCCATAGTAATCTAATTCATTAAAAGTAAAAACCCTATGAAATAAGTGAGTACAATTGTCCTGCGAAACAAAGATTTATATTTTCAAAAGTGTGAGGGTATGTAGTAATTTTTAATTGTTATGTTATTGAGTAGTGTCTACTATATGTTAGGAAATCTGGTTAGTTTGTACCCACTGCCCTCAAGCCAATTCTGACTCACGATTCTCTCTAGTTTCTTCCATGTAAGTCTCCTCATTTCTGAAGATCGCATTTGTAAAAAAGAAGACAGAAATCTCATGCACTCTCGTGTTTCTCCTAACAGCAGCATTTTGCAAAATGATGTGATATCACCAGTATAATCTTGACATTGACAAAGATTTTCCTGTTCCATTTTTACTCAAGGATAAATACATGTTTAGTGCTATATAATTTTATCACGTTTTTAGGTTTTTGTAACCTGCTGTAAAATTATATCGTGTTTGCAATGTTTGTACCCACTATGATCCAAACCAGAAACTGCTCCATTACAAGGATCCCTTCTGTTGCTCTTTTATTTCAGTCTCCCTTTTCTTTCCTCTGAAACTTCTACCCCCTCCTAACCTTGGGGGACCATTGATTTGTTATGGATTTCTAGAACTTATTATTTCAAGAATATTATTTAAATAAAATAACAAAATAGGTGACCTCCTAGGATTATTTTCTTCATTAAACTTAATTCCCTTGATCTTCAACCAAGTGATTATGTGTATTCCATGAGGAACCCTGGTGGCACTGACAGGTAAGCACTGGAGTGCTAATCAGAAAGTTGTAGGTTCAAACACACCAACCACTTGGTCAGAGTAAAAACAAGGTTAGTTACTTTTGTAGATCAGGATATACAGATTCAAAAACCCTACAAAGCATCACTATAATTCAGAATTGACTTCATGGGAGTGAGTTTAGTTTTTGGTTAATATTACCTAATATGGATATATCATAGTTTGTCTAATCATTTGTTTGTTAGAAGACATCACGACTATTTTTATTTTTGCCTATTATGAATAAAGTTGCTAAGAATATTCATCTACTACTTTTTTGTCAAAAGATCAGAAGATGTGATGCACTAAGTAAATCTGCTGCACAAGATGACTTGAGAGTATTGAAAAGCCAGGATGTTACTTTGAGGACTAAGGTGCACCTGACCCAAGTCACAGTATTCTCCCTTGCCTCATATATATGTGAAAGTTGGATATTGAAGAAGGAAGATTATAGAAGAATTGAGACATTTAAATTGTGGTACTGGAGAAGAATATTGAAAGTATAAAAAACTGCTAAAAGGACAGACAAGTCTGTCTTGGAGCAGGACAGCCAGAATACTCTTTAGAGGCAAGGATGGCAAGATGTCGTCTTACGTACTTTGGACATACTGTTAGGACAGACCGGTGTCTGGAGAAGGCCATGACGCTTGGTAAAGTGGAGGGGCAGCCACAAAGGGGAAGGCCCTTGATGAGGCAAATTGGCACAGTGGCTGCAGCAATGTGTTCAACTCCAGGAACACTTGTGAGGACGGCTCAGGACCATGCATTGTTTCATTCTGTTGTGTATAGAGTAGCTATGGTCTAGAACCTATTTGGCCTCACCTAACAATGATAACAAATTTTTTTGTATGTATGTACATAAATGTTCATTAGTGCTGGATAAACTCCCAAGAGTAATTTCTAGGTCACATTATGAGTCAGAATAGATGCCATGACAACTTTTTAAGGCCATCGAAAGACAGTTTCCCATCTTCTGCTAACTTAAAGGGCAGTAATTCAAATGCATCCAGCATAACATAAAAAATAATGGCCTGGTGATCAGTCTGTTTCCATAGAGATTACTGTCAAGACAACCCTGTGGAGTAGTGTTACGCTGTAAATATACAGATTTGTAATGAGTTCAAATCAACTTGACAGTGACAGGTTATGCAAAATGAGATTTAAAAAAATTCCTAATAATATCCAGTCTGTTTTACGAATGCAAATTGATGTCAGTGAATGCCTGGTTTCCATGGACCTGAAAGTTTTACAGCTATAAGACTTCTAAAGCATTTTTCATTATTTACTATATCAATTTCCTTTTCAATCTCTTTTGATTTTCTTCTATTATATTATTTCAATCAAATTACTCTTTGAATCAGGAATGCATTTCCTTATTCTCTTTAAACCGTAACATGGCTTGTCCTGTGAATGGCAGCAATGACAGGAGCCTAAACAGAGTTTCGTGTTTATATAACTAAACCTTCACTCACCGAGGCTTCACAAGAAAAGCAATAGAATTAAGGGCATTTGTTTCCAAGCCACTCAGATTACAAAGAGGGAAAAGCGGGTTGACTACTAACATGCCATATCAGGAGCCTTATGGGATCCTTAGTCAAAGATGATATTTTCAAACACAGAATAAAAATATTCTAAGTGGTAAGGAACATTCACCAATGTTTGTCAAATTTTTCTTAGCACAACATGAAATAATGTTAGGCTTTATTATGATTGACATCTCAGTTGGTTGAGGAAAGTTTAGCATTTGTGACTTCTAACTCAACATTCAAGTGTTTCCCCTAAAAAGTTATGGATTTAGTGAATTGAGGTTCATGCTTACCTGTTCAGCTGTTCTCCTATAAGACAAATTCATATTCTCTATAGACATTCTCCTATAGACATATTCTCCTATAGACATTCATATTCTCTCTGACGTTAGAAAACAAAATGTTCCAGTTTTGGTGAAGAAATCTAATCTTTATTTCTATGATGTTAGCACAATATACTCACACAATAGCTTTGATCTGTACTTAACAAAATACATTTATAGCACTTTACAAACTTTTTCAGTTTGGAAAACATTGCATAACATTTTTTTAAACACAATACTTTATATATATTATATATATTCATCATTTATTTACTTTAAAAAGATAATTAACTCTCTTTATTTAATACTTGATTTTATCAATAAAGCACAGCCTAACAAAGGAAGAAGTGCTCCCATTAGCAAATACAATAAATAGAACACTAAGAAGGGATACCACCTGTTAGTCTGATTTATTTCAAATTAAGGTACCAGTGGAATGTAAACAAATATTTTTTTTGTATTCCTTTATTTATTTATTTTTACAAAAGATGTGTTATCAAATATACATGCAGAGGTCTGAGTTCTAGTGACTATCATTATTTTCCTTAACAGTGTGATACAATTTGTTAAGTCATTAAAAACTGTAGCCTTTGGCACTTTGAGTAGAAAAAGAATATATCAATATTTATGTAAAGAAAAGAAACTTCAATGACAAGAGAAGTACTTTAAAATCCTTTGTAGAAATAGGAAAGATTAGGAAATACATAACATACTGCACCTCAAATGCTGCAGTTTTTGTTTGTTTGTTTGTTTATGAGTTCAGAGGACTAAAACCAGCCCACCTTTCCCTCTTCATCAATTGGCCAAAGCCAGTAGGAGTGCCATGATGGTGGTGGTGGTGAGAGTAGGGAAGGCATCATTTACTCCCACTTTGCTCTCTGAGAAGGACATTGCTAGAAGGGATGTGGCTGAGTTTGTTTTATTGCCAGAGTTTTCAATTCTGCTGGTTTTAGCGAAATCCTTCATGTCTTAGGAGGTGGGTTTCTCTACGAAAGCTCTGCCCTTTTCCTAGGGAAGGTGATAAGATTAAAACTCTAAACAATTCTTTCTGTTCCCACTGAAAACTGAACTAAGATCAGGTCAACCGGCGGTCTTGTTATGTTTTATCCCCTCAGCAAGTGTCTATTAGAATTCTTAAGAAATGGTGTAGAAAAGGTTAATATAAATTTCAAGAACCAAGTGTTTCTTCTTACTGAAAATATCACACACGTTTTTAAATTGGAAACCATTTCAAAATGTTTTCTTTTATGTTCTTCTTATTGATAGTATTGGTTTCCTTTGATTTAGGCTCAAGGCTTCATTCAGCATAGGTAGCAAAAACTGTTGTTGTTTGGCATCTTACGCACTAAACTGTGCCTATTCAGATGTTTTCCAGTAGTACATTCTTAGTTTATAATGTAGATACCTTTACTTACCAATTTACATTTTTCTAGCTCTTCTTGTTGCTGTCTAATTAACAATAATATTTGGGGGGAGAGAGTAAAACCCCACCACTGTGGCTCTAATTTGCTGGTCGGTGTACCAGAAAGAGTTATAGAACCAAATGGAAGTTTTGGATTATTTGTTAAGCCAGCAACCTAAGCCAGCTATTTAGTGACAGACAAGGATAGACTTGACCACTATTATTGGCCATGTAACCCAAATGTAAAGTGTTGATTCTGATTATTTTGTTTGTATTTGTTTATAAGCTCACAGCTGTATACTTTGCTCAAGGAATGTCAACGGTTATCTTTGCTTTTAAAATAGAAACTATCTATAACATCAAAAATTTAAAAAATCAATAAATAAAATGCCATAAAATGCAAAATATGATCACAATAATTGTAAAACACTTTCTGAAACAATATGTATTTGAATTATGCAAATTGACTCACTAAAGAACAGATTCTTCATTAGCAGTACCTGTACGTAAATAAAAGGTAAGGAGCAGAGAAACTATGCAGGAATATATGAGCAAGTCCCTTTCACTGACATGTCTATGCAGTTTTTGTTGTTGAAGAAAGCATAATTCTGAAAGAAATGCACAAAACCATTTCGATGTTGAACTGTGACAAAGCCTCTAGAGTGAAGGTGCGGGGGTGTCCTATTCTAACACAAAGCAGCCAGCATCTTCTTAATAAAGTAGCATTTCTTTGACAAGGAATGGCACACCACTATTTCACAGCTAAAGAGTTGAAGAGTTTACATTGTATAGGTACTATAATTTTCAGCACCACTCCATATAGAACTTTAGGTGCAGATTCTCCAAAATGAATATCTAATACTGCATGGCCTCTGTTGTGAGAAAAACAGAAAAGCGTGTTCTTGATTCCCACGGGTAATTAGGACGAAACTATCCCCAGAGTTGGCACACTCAGGAAGTAAAATGGTATGCATCGAAGGAAACCACTTCCTTTTGATCCTGCCCTCGGCAAAACCTTTCTGTTGAAGCCTGGTCACCTTCGTTCGGTTCTCGCGGTGTGCTTCCCTGCCCCGGTGTGTCATCGAGTCTGGGGAGAAGGCTTCTCACACGCTGGGTCCCAGCACAGGTCGCTCCATCGGTCGTCCGTTGGGAGTCATCCACATTCTGGGCCCTCGCTCAATCCTTGTAAGCCCGCGTGGGAGAGGTGCCCTTGTAGAAGATGTTCCTGGTGTTCTCGGGGCTGTTGCTTCGCTCGGGGATGAGGATGATGTTGCCCTTTCTTCTCAGGGTGGAGTCGCGGGAGGAAGAGATGGACAAGGTCTCGGAGCCCATCTCGCTGCCCTCGACCGGGGTGACGCGGATCGTGGTGATGGCGTGGTGGTGGTGCTCGTTGCTGTCGATGTTGCTCCTTTTGCGATCCCCAGACCCCAGGCTGTCCTTTAGGGACTCGCAGCTCTCAGAGTCCCTGTTGAGATCGTTGAGCTCGTACGTTTGGCGAAGGCTGCCTTTCTCGGGGGCCTTCCATTTCCAGGAGCCTGTGCCTTCGCCTTCGGTGGAGGGGATCTGGATGATGGGCCGGTTGTTCTCAGGGTGCGCCTCCACTCTCACAATGCCGCTGGGCTCGTGGTCCGTCAAGGTCTTGTAGCGAATGGAGCCGGTGCAAGAGACCGAGCTGCCGTCCGTGTTTTTGGGGCTGCTCTGCAGGACGCCCTGCTGCTTGGACATGGCGATCACTTGCATGATTCGGGGCTGGCTGTTGCTCCTGTTACAGGCCACCGTTTTCTCCGCAGCTTTCAACCACTTAGCCCGAGCAGAGCTGCTTTTCGGGGAGCTGCTTATGTTTTCCTGGGTCTCCTCGGGGATGTGCACCAGCTGCGAGGAGCCGGGGCGGGACTGGATGGACACTCGTGGCCCGCCGGGCATGCTGTTGTTACAGCCGGGCACGGTGCCAGGCTGGATCTTCAGGTACTGATTGCCAGGACCGTGGTGATCGCCATTCACCCCGACCCTCGACGGCTCCGAGCTTGACCTCATTTCTATGGATCGGGGAGGTGACTGGCCAGGCTCGGTCTCTATTACTTGCAGGGAAAGCTTCCGGCTTTCATTTTTGTTTTTCCACTGGGTGAGAAGCTGCTTTGATCGAGCAGAATCCATGGAGGCATGGATGGCCGCATTTCTCCTGACGGGGTCTTCCACCGATGGCGTGTTGGCCCTCGGCAGGGTATTGCTGAAGGTCACCATGTTCTCCTTGCCCATTGGGCTGCGTGGGGTGATGACTTCTACGTCCGCGTTTCCCCTTTTGAGATTTGTCAAGGAACTGGCATCTCGGTGGTTGCGGTTGAGGATGCCTTCAGTGTGAGCAATTCCATCGCTACTGCTCCCATTTTTAGCAGACAACATTCGGCTGGGGTCTTGGTTAGGATCGGTCAGAGACCTCAGAGCTTCTCTGTGCTGAAACATAGCCTCCTCACTGGGCAGAAAGTTTCCCACGGCATACAGACCCTAGTGTTCAGAGAAGGCAGTAAGTCTCAGAAAATATGCTTACCCAGCATTCCCCCAGAACATCCACTAATGTAAATCAATAAGGTATTGACACTATTTACTAATACGGAAATCAGAAAACCCAAACAACATTTAATGTTTAACTCTGCACATAGTTTGTAAATTATAGCATACATCAGTGAACTGGTTGCTTCGAAATGTGGAAGTTGTTATTTTTATTATTAGCTGGACTTTCTTTTCCTTTCTCCACTCATTGAATATATCTATATATTTCTCTATATTGATATATACTGATATAGGAGTATATCGATCTCAATAACTATATCTATATATATCAAATCCTTCCCTCTGTATATTTTGAGCAGAAAAGTCAGAGAGAGAAATAAGGACATTCTGCTTTTCAAAACATTTCACTTTGTCTGCCTCTAAGAAATGTTGGTGAGTGACAGCTCCGGGGTGTAAATGATTGATTTTGACCTTTCATTTTCAAACCAACTGTACGATGGAAAGCAGAAGAGGTGTGGAAAATGTAGGTCAATGGATGAAAAGTATGATATGATACCAGATTTTGAAATGAGGTCAGAAGCAGAAATCATTATACCTCACACTGAGCACACCATTAAGTACCTGCACTGTATATGTCGAATACTCTCAGACAGGAGAACAGCCTGTCACTAGATTAACTCAAAATTATCCCTGTCATCAAGTTTCAGACTCACAGTGACCCCAGAGGGCAGGCTCGAACTCTCCTGGTGGGTTTCTGAGCATATAGATATTTAAGGGAGCAGAAAGTCTCTCTTGGGGAAGCTGGTGGGTTTGAACGACCGACCAGATGGATGGATAGTAGCCTTGCCACTAGATTGGTGCACCCTAATTCTTTCCTGACTTAAACTTGGTCTTAAATTGGAAAGTAGGATTTGATCGATTTAGGACTATTGCAAAAAAAGGACCCAAAGTTTATTTAATGTTGCCTTCATATTCAAACTATCAGTGTTTTGTTTGATTTAGGGAACAAAAATTTGGAAAAGACTAAAATTCTGACTCAAATTTTTTACCTTTGTTTTACATATCAAATATTTAATCTCCCCCTGTGTTTTCAGGTTTTGAGATAGTTACTCTGGAGATACAATCATCAAAAGATACTTATTTGTGCTAAGTACAATAGGGCTGTTTTCTTTCTTTTTTTTTTTTTAATTAATCAATTTATTAGGGCTCATACAATTTATCAAAGGGCTCATTACCAAAATCTACAACAC